CTCACGCAGGAATGAATGAATGGCTGGGCGCTGCCTCTTGATTTATACTTCAGAAATTCGTTGGTCTGCCCTTTGCCATCAGCCGTTGGTGCTCACAGTCCCCCTGTGGTACTTGCTGGACTGGACTCTCTAGACCCTTCTGCTGACTGTAGGCAGTCGTACCGTCGACTCAGTGCAGTTGCACTGAGGTCCTACCTGTCGACCTTGCCACTTGTCTTCGTCTGAAAACGTGGGCCTACCTTAGACTCACCACTTGACCACTTGCCGACCTTCTAGAAGGACTACAGCTAGGCCTCTGGACTCTACTTGGACTCCTACCTTACAGGTCTACAGTTCGAATCTCCCTACAGCCTACAACCTACGGCGACCTACTTACCACTGGCTATCATGCAGGTCACAGGTTCAATTCCAGGGAGCTGTGCAGATACTGTACACAGGTAAGCTGAGGTCAAGGGATCGACCCCTGGGATCTGCATCGGCTACTGCCAAAGGTGAAAACTGTTTCAAAACAAAAACAAAAAAAGATCACTCGAGGCAAAAGGGCCGGTAATGCTGAATGTATATGACCTACGTTTCGGGTCCGGTGGGGTCGCGTGGGGGTGTGTTGTATTCGCGGGATTGCCTGAAGTGCAATTACAAACTGTTCTCGTGACTGCGCCGAAGTTACCCCAAAAAGATAGTACTTCAGGAACCACTTTTGAGTCCTCTAGAGTTTCCCCGCCTGCACCGCCTGTTTAGTCTAGGGTCTTCAGTTCTCCTCTTGAAACAGCGCTGAAAATAGTTAGTGGATTGCGAGTCTGGGTGGACAAACCAGGCTGGCGGTGTGGCGTTGTGGTGGAAACGGGCAACTCTAGACAGTCTAGAGTGTAGCCCCCTCTAGTGTAACTGGAGCAAAGTCGACGTTTTTGCTATTTTCGTGAGTCTGACAACACTCGACGGACTCTATACTTTTTTCTAGAGTCTAGTGTAGTGGAGTGGGACCCATTGGACCTCTTGCCCATCTTTGGCTACACTAGATGCCTGTACTGGAGATTTTCGCCTCAGCTCCTTTCTGTGTTTGATTTGAAGTCTCTTTTCTTTTCAGTTGTGCTTTATTTGCAGTTTTGAGCCATGTTCTTTTTATATAGAGTTTGCTTCTTTTTTTGTTATGTAGAATAGATTTGTAGAATAGCTCTGGTAAGACTTTGTTGTCAGCTTTTTTTTTTTTTTTTTTTTTTTTTTTTTTTTTT